AGGCACTCGCCACAACGCCCGGCTATTTTTTGGTTGCAGCCGTCATTGTTGTTTGGCGGGTCCGGGCTGGGGATTTGAACCTGCCACCTTAGGTGTACGTGGCTGGCACCTTAGCCGGTTGAGCTATAGGCGCCGAGCCACCATCACTAGGTCTTATTATGGGGTAGGGCTTATATTTAACAAATGCAAAGAATCCTGCTAGGGCTTATTTTTTGGGCAGGTCTTATTTTTGGGGAAACATGGTATCATAAGCTGGTGACCTCTAGCTCTGCATTCTCCACTATTTCCACTGAAGAAAGTGTCTGCTTTAGGAGAGTGTGGAGTTTTATTTATTTATTTATTTTTTGAGACAGAGTCTCACTATGTTACCCTTGGTGTCACAGCTCACAGCAACCTGTAACTCTGGGGCTTAAGCCATTCTCTTGTCTCAGCCTCCCAAGTAGCTGGGACTATAGGTGCCTGCCACAACGCCCAGCTATTTTTGTTATAGTTGTCATTGTTGGTTAGCTGGCCTAGGCTGGGCTCTAACCCGCCAGCCTGGGTGCATGTGGCTGGCACCTTAACCACTGTGCTACGGGTGCTGAGCCAGTATCTGTGAACTCCAAAGGGGTTTAAGGTTGGTATGGGTATGGGAGAATGCAAGGAGGGAAATGGGGCTACACTTTTTAGAACTTGATGCAAGGGACGCTTTCTGATGCTTTCTTACCTCTTGTGTTCAAATCCATCCTCATTTCCAGCCACTCATTCTAAATGACATTCCAAAGAGATATGCTGAGATATGCTCTTAATTTCATACTTTAAGAAAAAAAAATTGGGCAGCACCTGTGGCTCAGTGGGTAGGGTGCTGGGCCCATATACCAAGGGTGGTGGATTCGAACCTGGCCCCAGCCAAACTACAACAAAAAAATTGCTAGGTATTGTGCTGGATGCCTGTAGTCTCAGCTACTTGGGAGGCTGAGGCAAGAGAATCGCCTAAGCCCAAGAGCTGGAGGTTGCTGTGAGCTGTGAGCCCATGGCACTGTACTGAGGGCTACAAACTTAAACTCTGCCTCTAAAAAAGAGCATGGTGACTTATATCTGTAAATGTAGTGTTCTGGGAGTCCAAGGCAGGTGAGTTGCTAGAGCTCAAAAGTTCGAGACCAGCCTGAGCCAGAGTGAGACACCATCTCTACTAAAAATAGAAAAACTAGCTGGGTGTGGTGGTAGGCACCTGTAGTCCCAGCTACTTGAGAGGCTGAGGCAGGAGGATTGCTTGAACCCAGGAGTTTGAGGTTACTGTAAGCTATCATGATGCCATGGTACTCTACCAGGGCTGAACAGAGTGAGACTCTGTCTAAAAAAAAAAAAAATTCTAACAAATCAAAGACCTTTGTTCTAAAAGAGTGTACCTCTACCCCTTGGCCCTATTGACATTTTAGACCAGATGTTTTGTATTTTTTTTTTTTTTTTGCAGTTTTTTGGCCAGGGCCAGGTTTGAACCTGCCACCTCCAGTATATGGGGCCAGCGCCCTACTCCTTTGAGCCACAAGTTCCCCCCAGACCAGATAAATTTTTTCTATGGGAAAGCTATCTTGTGCATTGCAGAAGATTTAGCAGCATCCCTCACGTCTACTAACTAGATTACTCTCCAAGTATGACAACCAAAAATGTCCCCAGACATTGTGAAATGTCCTTTGGGAGCAAGGACATAGTTAAGCACCACTGCTCTAAACTGATAGCTACTTTGGTAAAGCCCTAATTATTTGTTAAGGAACTGAAAGTTTTCATTTCCCAAGGAAATTTATAGCATTGAAAAGGAGATGTGGCTCGGCTCCTGTGGCTCAAGCAGCTAAGGTGCCAGCCACATACACCTGAGCTGGCAGGTTCGAATCCAGCCCGGGCCCGCCAAACAACAATGACTGCTGCAACCAAAAAATAGCTGGGCATTGTGGCAGGCGCCTGTAGTCCCAGCTACTTGGGAAGCAGAGGCAAGAGAACCGTTTGAGCCCAGGAGCTGGAGGTTGTTGTGAGCTGTGATGTCACAGCATTCTACCCAGGGCGACAGCTTGAGGGTCTCTCTCAAAAAAAAAAAAAAAAAAAAAAGAAAGAAAGAAAGAAAGAAAAGAAAAGGAGATGAAAAACCTCCAAAATCCACAGTAATAAATTATTGGTTAGTAGAAGTATAGTTCTAAATATCTTAGAGGAATAGGGTTGTAGTACCAGAGGTATAATAGGAGTTTGAGGATGTGAAGTGGCCTGAGGTCTCAATTCAAAGAAGGCTAGTGGTAGAGATCATAAAAATATGATTTTGTAAGAAGTTTTTCAAACTAGTTATTTGTGTGTGCATATGTTTTTTATTGTGACATTTAATTCAATTTATTTTAATTTTAAGGCAGACTAGAATATAGTGGCATCATCATAGCTCACAGCAACCTCAAATTCCTGAACTCAAGTGATCCTCCTGCCTCAGTTTCCCAAGTAGCTGGGACTACAAGCGTATACCACCACACCCAGCTCATTTTTTTATTTTTGGTATAGGTGGAGTCTTGCTCTTGGTTAGGCTGGTCTTGAATCCCTAGCCTTGAGCTGTCTATCCTCCCACTTCTGCTAGGATTACAAGTGTGAGCCACTGCTCATGGCCATATTATGAAATTTTAAAATTTTGTGTACGTGGTATCATACTGTACATATTATTCTGCAATTTACATTCTTCACTGAACAGTGTTTTTGAGATCCATCTATATTGATATCCATATTGGTTTAGGTCATTTATTTTAACTACTGTGATATAATAAACGCATCATTATTTATTTTCTTGTTGGACACTTTGGTTGTCTCCAATTTGGGGCTAACATAAATAATGCTACAACAAACAGGTTATTTCTTTAAATATGCATGTCAAGTAGAGTTTTCTAGCTATGTTTGTGAAGGCCTTAGCATTATTGGCTTTTTCTTTGCTTTTTCTTTCCTTGTAGGAGTTGACTCATGTGGCTGTGGAAAATGAAGCAGAGTTAAAAACTAATCCCTTCTCCAACCAAAGCCTCTTGGAATTAGAACAACACCAAACTCTTCTTGTGGAAAGTCAGGAGCGGAAGTTGCTTGTCCTGCAGCTGATGGCTGTTTTGTGTGAGAGAATGTCGGAGCAGATATTTACAAATATCACTCAGGTCAGTGGTTGCCACATTCTGGACCCCAGCCTGGGTGGTACTTGGCTATTTTGGTTTCTTTACATTCTTTCCAAAAAATATTCAAAAATGTTCAGAATATAGTTTGATGATACTTGCATTAGTATTTCCTGGAATGCTGGTTAAATATAGAAATTACTAAGTCTGTACCAGGCCAACTGAATTCAGAACTTTCTTAAGTCCTGGGCATTGTATATTCAATAAGCTTCTGAGGTGATTCTCCTGCAAATAACACTTTGAGAACAGTTTTATTAATTTATATTTTTCTTTTTTCTTTATTCTATTTTTTTATGGCAGAAAGAGAATACTTTTTTTTTTTGAGAATGAGTCCCACTCTTTTGCCCAGGCTAGGTAGAGTACCATGGCCTCACCGTAGCTCACAGTAATCTCAAGAGTAAACTCTTAGGTTCAAGCAATCCTCCTGCCTCAGCCTCCTGAGTAGCTGGGGCTATGGGCACTTGACATAATGCCCAGCTAAGTTTTCTGTTTTTTGTAGAGATGAGGTCTTGGCTCTTGCTAAGGCTGGTCTCAACTCCTGTGCTCAAGGGATCCTCCTGCATTGGCCTCCCAGAGTGCTAGAATTGTAGGCATGAGCCACTACACCTGGCTTGGTTTTAAATATTTTTATGTTCTATCATAGTGGTTTTCAATTTTAGGTACAAATAAAATCATATGGGATCTTTTTCAAAATACTGATACCTGGCTCACTTTTAGAGATTCTGATTTGGCATGTCTGCGTTAGAACCTGTGTGTCTTTATCTTTTTAAAGCTCCATGGATGATTGTAATGTGTATCAAAAGTTGAGACTAATGAGAAACTCAAATTTGAAAAAATATCACTAATACTTTTTTTTATTATTATTTATAGACAGCTGGAATTATCACTAATACTAATGAGAGCAGCGTGAATTTTATAGGTGATCTAACTTACAGCTTATCTTTACAGCATCCTGTAAAGTTTTAAGATGTTTTTTAAAATACATAAATGCTTTCTGTGTGGTATAACTGTGTGAATCAGTGCCTGAATTATATTGAGTCAGACATTATTTTTACAACCTTTAAAAAAAAAAAGAAATAAAAGTAATAAAGCAAAGGCAGTACAGTCATCATATTTTACCACTTTACCAGAATTTAATGTTGCATGGTTGGTGAATAGTCAGTTGTAAGACGGTATGATTGTCATGCTTAAATCTGATTCTCCAGTTCTTTGTATTGTCGTCATTGTCATCAGCCTTCGGGTGTTGCTAAGCAGCATTTCACTACAGCTCCTGCTGAGAAAATTTGCAGCTGCCTGTCAGCTCTGACTTATCATGCCTATTTAATGAGAATTATGTTCATGATTTCTCTCCTGGCCTCTTATTCCTGCAGTTCACTGACCCTGTGTTACTCAGTAGGGTGATTTGTTTCTTCTGCATTTATATCCGTTCCCTGAAGACTCATCCAGACCTTATGTCTTTGTCTCAGAATGTTAGTTTGAAGGGGAAATGGTCTAAAAATTGATATGAATTGAGCTTTTGCAATTATCTCCCTTTACTCCTAATTAAGAAACAATGATGTCAGGCTGGTACAAAAATGATTTGTCCCATTAAAATTATCTTTCAGCTAAGGTTAAAATGTATCAGGACAAAAAGAGCCACAAGGAAATAATAAATTGCATTTAGTAATCTTGCTCTTAGTGATAATATTCTGATATTATTTTGAGCAATACACATATGGATAAGGAAGTTATAAGTAATTTTGTTAATACTGTTAGGGATCAATATTTTTAGCATAAGAAAAAGAGTTATAAAGGACTAGAGTTAAAATCCTATTTCTTTTTCTTATTTTTTTTTCTTTTGAGACAGTCTTACTTTGTCGCCCTGGGTATAGTGCCATGGCATCCTAGCTCACAGCAACCTCAAACTCTTGGGCTCAAGCTATCCTCTTGCCTCAGCCTTCCAAGTAGCTTGGACTACAG